GTCTGTGAGTGTGTGAGTATACAGTGTGGGGTCTGTGAGGGTATGAGTGTACAGCATGGGGGTCTGTGAGTGTACACTGTGGGGGTCTATGAATGTGTGTGTGTACAGTGTGGGGGTCTTTGAGTGTGTGTGTACAGTGATGGGGTCTGTGAGTGTATGTGTATACAGTGTGATGGTCTGTGAGTGTACAGTGTGGGGGTCTGTGAGTGTGAGTGTACAGTGTGGGGGTCTGTGAGCGTGTAATTGTACACTGTGATGGTCTGTGAGTGTGTGTGTATGAGTGTACAGTGTAGGGGCCTGTGAGTGTGTGAGTGTACACTGTGATGGTCTGTGTGTGTATAAATGTACAGTGTGGGGGTCCGTGGGTGTGTGTGTACAGTGTTGGGGTCTGTAAGCGTGTGAGTGGGTGAGTGTACACTGTGGGGGTCTGTGAGTGTGTAATTGTACAGCGTGGGGGTCTGTGGGTGTGTGTGTACAGTGTGGAGTCTGTAAGCATGTGAGTGTACACTGATGGTCTGTGAGTGTGTGTGTATGAGTGTACAGTATGGGGGTCTGTAAGCATGTGAGTGTACACTGATGGTCTGTGAGTGTGTGTGTATGATTGTACAGTATGGGGGTCTGTGAATGTGTGAGTGTACACTGTGATGATCTGTGAGTGTGTGTGTATGAGTGTACAGTATGGGGGTCTATAAGCATGTGAGTGTACACTGATGGTCTGTGAGTGTGTGTGTATGAGTGTACAGTATGGGGGTCTATAAGCGTGTGAGTGTACACTGTGATGGTCTGTGTGTGTGTGTGTGTATGAGTGTTCAGTGTGGGGGTCTGTGAGGGTATGAGTGTACAGCATGGGGGTCTGTGAGTGTACAGTGTAGGGGGTCTATGAATGTGTGTGTGTACAGTGTGGGGGTCTGTGAGTGTGTGTGTACAGTGATGGGGTCTGTGAGTGTATGTGTATACAGTGTGATGGTCTGTGAGTGTACAGTGTGGGGGTCTGTGAGTGTGAGTGTACAGTGTGGGGGTCTGTGAGCGTGTAATTGTACACTGTGATGGTCTGTGAGTGTGTGTGTATGAGTGTACAGTGTAGGGGCCTGTGAGTGTGTGAGTGTACACTGTGATGGTCTGTGTGTGTATAAATGTACAGTGTGGGGGTCCGTGGGTGTGTGTGTACAGTGTTGGGGTCTGTAAGCGTGTGAGTGAGTGAGTGTACACTGTGGGGGTCTGTGAGTGTGTAATTGTACAGCGTGGGGGTCTGTGGGTGTGTGTGTACAGTGTGGAGTCTGTAAGCATGTGAGTGTACACTGATGGTCTGTGAGTGTGTGTGTATGAGTGTACAGTATGGGGGTCTGTGAATGTGTGAGTGTACACTGTGACGGTCTGTGAGTGTGTGTGTATGAGTGTACAGTATGGGGGTCTATAAGCATGTGAGTGTACACTGATGGTCTGTGAGTGTGTGTGTATGAGTGTACAGTATGGGGGTCTATAAGCGTGTGAGTGTACACTGTGATGGTCTGTGTGTGTGTGTGTATGAGTGTACAGTATGGGGGTCTGTAAGTGTGTGAGTGTACACTGATGGTCTGTGTGTGTGTGTGTATGAGTGTACATTATGGGGGTCTGTGAATGTGTGAGTGTACACTGTGATGGTCTGTGTGTGTGTGTGTACAGTGTGGGGTCTGTGAGTGTGTAAGTGTACAGTGGGGGGGTCTGTGGGTGTACAGTATTGTTGGATGGCATGCACATATGATCTGTCAAATCACAACTTCCCCAATTTAGTCGTATCCAATTCCATCCACTAGTTAGGACTCCCCCGAATCATACTGATACCACCAGTGCTAGCACAGGCTTCCTTCGAGACCTGTGAAGCTCCACTGTATCTTTATGAAACTGCTGTTAATGCAATGTCATTAGACAGTCGAATGTGCTCTGAGGAGAACACTAACTGGCTGTTCTGTTACGTCAGCTAACAGACCCCTGTGCTGACTAGCATCACGTTGAGTGATGGGGGGAGAATGGGAGGGGGGGCATCATACCCACCTAGAGAGAACAAGGCCAACTGTGCTCTCTTAGACTCCCGGCCACAGATGGCTGTAGCATCACCAGGGGTCAAACTCGCAATCTCTTGATGATTGGGCCAACACTTAGACGGTTGTGCCACTCGGGAGGCCCTCTGGTTGGTCACTTTAAACTTTCCGCCTTGGCATATTCCCACCATGAATACACTGTGTGATTTTAGCTTATTTTTAAATGCACATAATCACAACTACATCCCCAACACGAGTGGAGATACGTAGGCTAACAAAACTGAGGTGAAAAAGTCAACATTTGCTGCCAAAGTCTGTATATGCCCACATTACTCTGTTTGACTGGATTGAATTGTGAAGTATAAACTTTAATGTAGTGATTTGTTTTGTCTGGAGTGCACATTGTGGCACAGGTTAGCAATGCTGCCGTAGCCGTAGCTCAGTTTCTTTGCGTGCTTTGCTAAGTAGTCGGTGCTCACCGTGTTGTTCTGCATGAAACAGCTTTATTTGAAATTGTCTGTGGACACAGCTGTGCTGTCCGTAGGGCTGTGTTTCACTTAGCATGTCAGACCATTTTCGTACAATGTGAGTTTATAAATCATAGGCTTTGTACACGATAGTCTATTCAAACTGTCTGTTCAGGCTGTTGTTGAAAAAGACAGATGAGGATCAAAACTATGAAACGTACTTTACTTACCTACTTAGAATGCAGTAGTTGTTGGTGTGAATGAGTGCAATGTATCTTAACAGTTAAATCATTAAAATCTAGTGGATTTTAAATGAAGTGCATTAGCTAGCTAAGCTACATTAGTTAGCTTGGCTGCAGTTATAATAGTGCATTGGAGAAGTGCTTTTCTGTCGAGGGACAAAACCTGCTTTTCTCCAATGCACAATTACTACTTGATCCAAGCTAACTTATGTAGCATAGCTAGCTAATGCTAACTATTTAGCTGTGAAGGCACTTTGCACTCATTTACCCCAACAACAACTACTGCATTCTAAGTAGGTTACTCATTACGGTATCAGAATAAGTATTTAAAAACAGTCTGAAAAAAAGCTATTGATGTATCACTAACCTTGACCATTTAAATATGTGGAAATTGTGAAAAATCAGTGGAATTTCCCTTTAATACCAGATGTGAACATGGCCTGATACACTTATTATGAAAAATAAATGCTGTTAGCATGGCCAGCACACTGCTCAACCAATCAGATGGTTTTGGAACTAACTTATATAATCGCAAATACACCACAGCGTAAAAGAAAAGTGTTATGATTTCCCATTCACACTGACTTGATAATGCTAATAGAGAAAAATAGACAGTGTAGTTGAAAAAACAAATAAAAAAAATCTTTTCTTACACACACACAGAATGTTCACAGATGTGTATTAGCCATGCTTGCCTTGTTGAAAAGGCAATCAAAAAGACATATCAACACCTGAACAGTACTTTCAGTTATATTTTTGTAGTAGTTGGGATTGTTATTGAACTTAGCCAAGCAAAAAAAAAAAAATAAATTTACAACACAATTCAAACGAAACTGCTCGAAACCGTCGGCGCCTAAAAACACCCAATATCTCTCCACGCGCAGTGAATTGGCTTTGAGTGTTAGCTGCCCACCGGCTGAACGCGCTCGTGCGCTGGATCATGGCTGAGATGGGCTCTTGAAGCTCGGCGGATGGGGTTGAAATGTCACCTTTTTGAGATCTTTTTGTTGCTCTTTGGTGCCGTTCCATCCCAAGCACTTTGGAGTAGTTTTAAAACCGTTCGCTCTTGATGTGAAAGAGTGGAGGGAGGGAGAGCAGGATGGTCTTTCACTCTGTCTTTCTGTTCTGTCGTTCTCTTTTGAAGCGATGGTTTGTCCAGAAATTAAGTGAACACAGTTTTCCCCTCTCACTTGGTCAGCCAACACCTGTTTGTTGTTTGAAGTTTGCTTCTGAAGGTTTGTACTGGGGCTACCAGGCTAATGCTAACAGCCCTTCTAGAAAACCCAGTTCTGTTTTGGATGGTGGTATGCTGGTCACCCAGCACGACCATGCTGGGTGACAGGGCTAAACCAGCACCAGGCCAGCACTAGTGGTGTGTGCTGTTTTAGAGAGTATGCATATAACTAAAAACAGTAGTTATATGCCATTTTGATGCTTGAGTTTATGTCTGTACTTTTGTCCATGTTTATAGATAACAGTGTATCATACAGTATCACAAATGCATATTCAAGCCTATTTGAGACTATTTAAAGGGGAATTAATTAAAATTATAATTTAAAATAGTCATTCAGAGTGGTTTGGTGTGAAATGCTCCATTCTAGAGAAACTTACAGAGTCAGTTCACAGTGGTGGTGATAGGAACCAGACGTCTACCTCCAAATGCTACCTCACTGAAAGTTATTACAGGAAATGGTTATAAATACGCTGCCTGATTTACGAGCTTTGTGAAGGTTTTGGATTAAAATGTAACTTTAAAACTCATTCATGTTGAAGGATACATTCAGGGTGTTGTGAGGCAAAATAATCCCCAAAGAAAACTTTATTTTAGATTTTTCACTATTTTTCCATCATTAACGTTCCATATAAAAGCTCAGAAGACACGTGTAGGTTCACTGGTGGTTTGGATAGTAAATAAATAAAGAAAAACTCACAGAAACCATTAAAAGTTTCTGTTGGTTGCTCGTGGGGTCCAATAGTCATTAATGTTGTTTTATGTTTTCCTGATGGGTTGATATCACAGTATAAAGGACCCTAATGGTTTAACTTGTGTCCTGGGACGGATTCCAGATGCATTTAATGGCTTCCTATGAGATTTAAAACCATCAGGTTTACATCATTCTAGTGCCCTTTCTCATCAGGGTTTAAAGCCCATTAAACTTATTTTTAATAAGTTGTCTACAACAAATATAAACCATAAACTTAGCTATAGTAACAGTGACAGCGTTAGGAGCGGGAGCGCGCACGCAGCTTACCGTCCCGCCGTGCGCGCTCCCGCGGGCCTGACTTGGGTCATATGACTGAGCGGCGCTAGAGAGAAGCTGTAGCCGGACATATCTCATTCTCCACCGGTCAGACTTCCCTTAGTGCAGCCGAATAAGCGTCACTCTCCCGCCGGCCACAGTCTCTGTAACTGATCTGAAGATGGCAACCCTGTTGGCGAACCGGCCGGTGGATCTGAACGGGCCTGAAGCTGCGGCGCGGCAGCACGCTGAGGCGGTGAAGAGAAACTACATCTCCCAGCCCAGACTCAGTGAGTACGGATTAGCTTCAAACTGACCAGATAAAGAACAAATACGCGACATGTCACACTGTATTTGGGTATAATGGCATTCTTCTTAAGTATTATTTACTTTTATGCTCTGTTTGGTCATTTTTCCTAGCTATAATGGCGTTAAAATGAGGCTTGATTTTGCTTCTTATTAAAATGGTCCGTTCCACCTTAAATGGCACAGCAGTTAACGCTAACATTCTGGTGGCTGTGCGGGCGCTAGAGCGCAGCTGCTGTACCTTTTAAGGTGGAACGGAAAGTTCTAATTAAAAAGTCAGTTTGCTCACAGTCAGTCAATGTCATTTGCTCCCATGAAATAACACGTTGATAATACCTAGCTACCTAGGTTATCTATCTAGCGACAACTAGCTTTTCCCCACCTGTACAGTAATATCATAACAGTGTACTCTAATTTCGCACCGTTAAACAGCACAGCTAACCGCTAATGTTAGCTTTCTTGCTAACTGTCAGGTGACAATAAACTTCTCGTCGAAGTGATAATGCTTATAACAATTCTTGTCGTCTTTTTCACCTAGGAAATATTGACACAGCAGATTGCACTCTTCTTTAACAATACCTCACATTTAAAAAATGTATTTTTAAAAAAGATATTCTAATGTAAACATAGCGTAGCTAACCAGCTAGCTTGTTTGCTAACTGTCAGACTGATTGGCTAATTTTGGGTGAGCTGGCTGATCCTACAGCCTTTTTAACCATACCTGATGGTCAATTCATCAGTTTTTCTGATGTTAGAGTTATACGGGACCAACAGGGGAACTAAGTTACTTTCCTTATACAAGGCTGAAGTTGGTTCCTTATTCTCTAGCTTTCATGTTCGAATTTTCCCGTTCCACCTTAAATGGTGCAGCGGTTACACACTGGCGCCGCAGGCTCCATAATGTAACTGCCGTCCCATTTAAGGTGGAACGGGAAAATTCGAATAGAAGCTAACTTCAGCTTCGTTTTCATTCTCAGTACTGATGTGGGTTTACTTGGCTAGGTTATGAGCTTAGCTTGGCTCTTTCCTGCTTCCCTGGTGGTGCAGATCCAAATGAACTTTATTCTGATTAAATATTGTGTTTCTTTTGGCTCTGTTGAATAAGAATGGTTTATCTGTAGGCATAGTTAGATAGCAGGTTACGCTATGATGGGCTCAGTAGCTTTACAAGGACACAGTGCCCAGATGGTGTTATGATGATGATCCTTAACCATGTGATGTAATCACGTGAGGCAGCCTGTTCAGGGATGAGTAATGACAGAGCCACTGCATGTGCCTTTGAGTCTACATTTAAATGTTAAAAGTATATTAAATTATTTATTTTTTTAAGTTAGTTCTGAAATAGGAGGTCTTGGGTGCATTGTACCTCAATCTTCTCACTGACTGTGATGCACATCGCACAATAAACAGCACAATGTTTTATGGCTATTTTTGTAGTTAAATAGGAACTCCACCACTTTTTCAAAAGATGTAGAGTCATTCAGAGTGGTTTGGTGTGAGATGATCCGTCCTAGAGAAACTTACAGGGTCGGAATTGTTCACAGTGGTGGGGATAGGAACCAGACGTCCACCTCTAAAAGCTCCCTCGTTGAAAGTCGTTACATGAAATGGTTAGATATAGGCTGCCTGATTGTCCGACATTGTTTTATGATAGGTTTGCTATAAAGTTTTCGTTTAAAATGTATTTTAACTCCATTTATTTTAATCCATTCAAGGTGGAGGGGTACATGCAGGGGCGTTGGGAGGCGAAATAGTCCCCAAAGAAAACATATTTCAGTTTTATCACTACTTTATCATCATCAGCTTTCCATATAAAGTTCAGAAGACACGTGTGGGTTCACTGGTGGTTTTGGATAGTAAATAAAATGTCTATATTTGTGTTGTAGTCATGGCGATGCCTGGTTCCTATCATCACCACTGTAAAGAAGTAACCATTTCACATTAAATCACTTTAATGACTCTATTTACATCTCAAGGACTGAATTATTCAGAAATTTTGAAAAATGGGTGGAGTTCCCCTTTAATGATGTTCTTTTAGGCTTCATTTGTTCAACTTTTCTTTTAACGTGGTAACGTTGCACAAATGACTAGGCTTGCTTCTTTGGCTTTAACTCTTCTCATTGACCATAAGCTGCTTCGTTCACGTCTTATTACCAGTTTAGTCTCTGGGCCGTTAGGAAAATGCTGCTCAAACAGCCGATTCAGCAGAGGGATGTGAAAGCGTCGTCTGTGCTCAGTGTGGACCTGCAGGTCAGCTGACCCTGCACATGGAGAACATGTGACACTATGGGCGGCCCTTTTGGACCTGGAAAGCACAGCAAACTGCAATGGGATGAGGAACCAGACACTTAACACAAAGTTAAAGGGCTGTTTTGCAATTCTTTTTCACACATGTTGCAAAACTGGATTTTCACTGTGAGAGTTAAAGCCAGATGTGCTGTGGAATCTGTTAAAAACCTAAACTCCTGTACGGATGAGCTCAGATTTTCGTTGTGTGTGTATATATACACATACATTCACTCATTGCCCACTTTATTAGGCACACCTGCTTTGTAGCTGCACTTATTGTCCATTTTATCAGCTCCACTTAGTATAATGGTGAACTTTGCAGTTCTGCAATTACCGACTGTAGTCCATCTGTTTATGTGCGTACTTTGTTAGCTCCATTTACCATATTCATCAAAGGTCAGCACTTGCACTACCAAGCCAATCAGTCTTGTGGCCAAAATTACTAAACCTCTCAAAACCTGTCCATCATATATACGTTGCATTTACAATTAACAAAAACATGCTTCAGACAAAGCAGTCAAGTCCCCCACACCATTTGTTCTTCATTTTGTACAATATAGTCAGCCAGACTGAAGATTTTTATTGTTGTATCATGCTGACCCACCTCAGTCTTCATCAGGCTTTGATCAGTCTTCCTGTGGGTTAGTTATTGGGGTCAGTGAAGATCTTTCTGGCAGTGCCTGTAGTTTTGAATATCATGTTTTCTAATTAGCCGTGTTTACATGCAGCCTGATAATCTGTTAATAATCTAAATAATAGACTAATCTGATTGAGGCCATTCGGAATACAGTTTTTATCCGATTGAACGAGGTGGGTAGTCCTGTAAATAATCCATTAAAAAGAAGTATAATATCCGTGTAAACGCCTGTGTCTGATTAGCTACATTCCTAGTCGGAAATTTTAAGTGCGTCCTGCGCATGTGCGTCGCATCATAGTGAAAATTTATAATGTTCAACATGGCGGGAGCAGAAACTGGTCTGCAGAGGAGACAAAGTTTATGCCCTGAGCTTTAAAAGGCGGCGGTGGGACGGACGTCCAGCTTATGTGTCTCAGAACTCGACGTCTTCCTCTCACCTTCTTTAATAAGTACATGTGAAGTATGTTTTCTTGAGTCAGACATCATTTTAAAGCAGTTAAAAACACAAGCACTGCTCACTGCTGCTCGTCTCACTGACTGGACTCGTGATGCTCGTTGTCATGGTAACGTTACACTAAGTGGTAATCTGCGCATCTGCAATCCATAATTTTGGATCGATTACTCGTAGTGTGCATGTAAATGGAGATTTTCATCAGATTGTTGAGTAGAGTGAGCATATAAACACCCCGGTCTTGATCTATAATTGGAATGTATCTGATCAGATTTGCAAAAATCTTTGCACGTAAACACAGACATTAAGTTAGTTATTGTTGAACTCTGAACTTTCTAATTGGTTACTTGTCATCATTATCAGATTTTTAAAAAAAGTTTACATTTTTTGTCAGCACTGCTGTATTTTAATAACTCAGCCATTGCAGACTTCTGAAAATAACTTGTCGCTCGCTGCTGTCACGTTTGCTATCGTGGTGGTAACGATCATTTTATAGGTGGTGAATTGATAAAATTTGCTCAGTGACCGAGCAATTTTGTGCGGTAGGATGAAAAGTAGTTGTTCTCTTACTAAAAAAGTTATAAAAAGAAAAAGTCTGCTGGTCTGGTCTGGTTTTAGTGGACAAAATTTAGTGTTTTTGCTGGGGGCTCCCAGCAATATTGATGCGGAAGGTGTACAAAACTACACTAAACAGCACTTCATTAAATACTACTGCTTTTTGACCATTTTATCCACAACACTTATCATACAGGTCCATTTCGTAGGTGTACAGTTGCTGATTGTAGTGCATGCAGTTCATGCACAGTTTATCAATGCCCCTCTACACCATTGATTGGTCTCTTTCTGACCACAGGACCACCACTGACCAGATATTATTTGGGTGGTGGTCCATTCTCTGCATGGTGGCGCATGTTGTGTAGCGGTGGGGGATATGGCAAAAATATTACATCATGATACTTCAAAATGTTTTCATGATACACAGTGTGCATCACTATATCCAGTTTAAAAAGTTGGAACAGGCAAAATAGAATCTGTAACGCCATATGTAAGAATACTATAATAGTTATTAGGATTAGTAATAATCATAAATCTACTACAGTAATTTTTATTCAATGTTTTACAAACTTCATTGCACTAAATTCTGTTAACCAGGCCTATTTATGCTCTCTTTTTACAGAAACTTGTTAGTGTTCTTTAACTACTGACGACATCCACGATACGCTCAGAAAAACATATTGTGACATTTTATCTTTATTGTGATAAATTATATTGTCATATTGCCCACCACATGTATGTATTGCTGATATGAATACATCAGACACAGCGTCCACTCTCTTGTAGCTCTGCTATGCTGATGTTCAGTTAGAGACTGTAGCTCATCTGTTGGTGCACATTTTGTGTTCTTCATCGTCTAGATGTTTATCAGTGGTCAGTTTCTGACCACAGAGCTGCTCCTGTTTGGTTATTTTTGGGTGAACAGTCCACTCTCAACCTAGCAGTGATACTGACGTGTGTAAAAACGCTGTGTCTGATACACTCGTACCAGCACCACATACACTGCCATGTCAGTGTGACTGCTGTACTGAGAATGGACCACCACCCACATA